GTTGAGATAATATTATACAATGTTATTGTTCATACTATCACTAAATTAAATCTGTTTCTCCACTACCACTAGCTCGAATAGAAGTGATCCTTTGGCTAAATAAGAGCCACATTTGACTTAGATAACCAATTTGTAGCAATGCAGCATTTTCAGGAAAATAACTATTTAGGTATCTCTGAATATATGCACATTTTTGGAGCAAAATAAAACTATGTTCATGACCACAAAATGAGCCCATGGAGACTTAGATACCAGTTTGAGCTTCCTCTTTTAGTAATATTGCAAAAGGGGACATCTTAGTCAAACTCTTTTCAGGGAAATTGGTCTCAGGCTGATGTCATTTAAATTCAGGTTCTTCCTCCTCAGCAGGGTGACTAGTGATATTCTCTTTCCATATAAAGTTATTTTTTTTGCAAAAATGTAAGCTCCTTGTTCTGCTATAAAACAACATTCCCTGTGAAAATATAAAATGAAAATGTGTGAATTCCATGATTTTCTATCAATACACAGAATTTTCAAATATTGAAAATACTCCTTTATAATGTTAATTCATGTTATGAATTCAGCTTAATGATGTTCCTTCTTTTGAATGCTGCTTAGTTAATGCTACGATTTCAAAACAGTTTCACATTTTTTTCTTTGCACTAGTTGGACAATATTAACTGAAAAGATAACTTACAAAAGCATTGTTTTGTTTCCTTGGGAAATATGACATGGGAATGACTTTGAGAGACAGCAAGAACCACAGACTCTAGGTCAGATACGAGGCAGCTGAGCCCATAGGAGGAAGGGGGGAGGGGAATGGAAAACATACAAGTCCTCGTTTCTAGGACTGTAAAGTTTGGGGAGGGGGGAAGGACAGAGAGACGTCCTTTAACCTTTCAGGATTCTGTTAATATCATGTTTGGCTATGTCTGACTATGGATGTGGGGCACATCTCTTTTGCTGAGGGATCAAGTGTTGTCTGAAGACAATTTCCACTTGTGGCCAAAATGGCTATATGCCAAATGCACACAGAATGCTGTTATCTTCCCACCCAAATGGTACCTATTAATCATATTTGCATGCTTAAGAACTGCTAGGTGGGCAGGACCTGAGCAAGGAGCTAAACCCATTGCTCAGCAGTTGGTTCTAAAATCTGGGTCTGTCATCTCTCCAGCTCTGTGTCTTTGACTGCTGAGCCAAAACACACCCTCTGTTAATGTAAACTTACAGTAACTACCCAGAGTTGGCGTTGCGTGTGCTTCTTGTCCAGACTGTTTTGCAAGATTGACACCCAGAAACCCCACCTGAATTTATTTTATCCCAGGTTTTGTGGGTTTCTTTGAAACATTCCTCAACTATTTGTTTATTCAAGTTATCAACATATGAAGAATAAGATGTGTAGTGAAAGATTACATTTCTCTAAACATGGAAATATAGCATCCAATTTAGGAAAGCATTTCAGTAGGCTGACAATTTTTTTCTCTAACCAGGAGGAGGCCTCTTGGGTGGTGCTGAAAAATTAATGTTAATGTTAACAGAACAAATATAGGTTAAAAATTAGCAGAAAAGAATTCATTAGACTGCTTTATATAGAATTATTATTTTTGTCCAATTCAGCAAATACAATGATTTTTAAGTTTCTTCCTGCTCAGCTCTGTTCTTTTTCTCTCTCCTTCAATACCCCCCACACACCCTAAAATCACTTCTTAACTTTTTTGTCTTTTCTGTAGTACAGGAAGTACAGCGGCAACATCACTGATGTAAGGATGAGAATATTTGAAATTCTCAACTGTGTAAATATGGTAAGAAGACATGGCAAAAGTAACTTCACTTTTTGAATTTAAACCACTCCCTGCCCCAACTCAGATTTTCACTGTGTTAATGGAACAAAATTAATCTGATAAGGAGACTTAGGAAATAGACTTCTACAAGAATTTAACTTTTCCAGATTTGAATGCAACAAAGCAGACTCATTTGGCCCAGAAAACAGTTCAGTAACTAGGTTATTCCAGAAAACAATTTAATTCAGTAACTAGATTAATAAGCCTCTTATGTGAATATAACCACTGTGATGGAAGGATGAAAGTCCAAAAGTGTTGCAAGAATCCAATCAGTGTATTCTCTAGCTGGATTCTTCCTGGGCTGTGATTAATCTGAACTAGAAAGTTAGAAAGAAAAAGAGAGAATAAGTCTATTACAAATTCAATTGATTATGAACATGATTCCTGAGAAGAAAGCAGGAGAGAGGAATCCAGATGAAGTTGGATTGTGACTCTTAGTAGAAGAAATTGTGTTGTATTACTCATATTGTATTGCTTCTGCATGTTAGCTTTGTTGACTATCTTCTATTTTAATGATCAGTTAGAATCAGCAACAACAGGAACATCAGTGGGTGAAATCTCCCCTTTAATCCTCCTCCCCTTCTGTTCTTGATTAAAGAGCAAGATCACCTGGTTCTTCTTTATCATTTTATTTATTTCTTCTGCTTAATAAATTATTAAAGGTAAAGGTTCCCCTCACACATACGTGCTAGTCATTTCCAGCTCTAGGCGGTGGTGCTCATCTCCGTTTCAGAGCTGAAAAGCCAGCGCTGTCTCTGTGGTCATGTGGCCGGCATGACAAAATGCCGAAGGCGCACGGAATGCTATTACCTTCCCACCAAAGTGGTCCCTATTTTTCTACTTGCATTTTTACATGCTTTCAAACTGCTAGGTTGTCAGAAGCTGGGACAAGTAACGGGAGCTCACTCCATTATGCGGCACTAGGGATTCGAACTGCCGACCTTTCTGATCGACAAGCTCAGCGTCTTAGCCATTGAGCCACCGCATCCCTTATAAATACACTAAATTGAGGTACACTAAATTATTAGTGTACCTCAAATGTGGAGTTTTCTGTGCTGTCTGACCTTGGTGGTTTCCTTGCAGACATTGCATTACCTGAAATGAATAGTAAGTAAATCAACTAACTCAGAGAGCACTAAGAACTCCATAGCTCAACTATGCGCTACAGAGGTTCTCTTCAATGGATTCCCAATCAATTTCAGTTCGCCTGTCTTTAGAAGCCAATGTCAGTTGTCTTTTAGTCTTGAAATGTTTCTCAATGTTTATTTGAGTTTCTGACTGATGCCTTGTCCACTCCACAGTATTACAAAGTTTTCAATATTCATGTGATATTGATTGGCTTGGAAGTTTGGTCTGATGAAGATAAGATTCTGATCAATGGATCATCAGAACCCACTGTGAAATCCTTTGCAGTATGGAGACAGTCAGATCTACTGAAGCGCAAAAGGAATGATAATGCTCAGTTACTCACGTATGTCTGATTGCGGGGAGAGGGGATGGGGGTGGCCAGGAGTGGAAGATTATGAGAATGTCGATGTTCCACTCTGTGGTTTTCACTCTGTGTTGTATGTTATAAACTATGTGTAAACTTTGTTTCTGGGTCAAAGCAAACCCTTTTTTTCTTAGCTTAGAACTAGTTTTGAGAAAACATTTGAATGATGCTCATTTCACTTCACCTGGCTTGGAAATTGAAACTCAAATGGTTATCCTCTTATATCAATTAAACATCCTCTTTTGGTGACACCTTTAAAGTTGGTCTGGATGTTAGAAGATGTAGGGAACTGCAGAGGCTTCTGATTGGACATTTCTGCTTTGGCAGTTACAAAAATGATTTTTTGGCAAATTTGGAATGATGCCCTCAGAACAAAGCAGGTTCTAACAGTTTCCCATGTTTAATAATGTGTAAAAATGAAGAATACCAAGTCAATTGATGTCCAAAAAGAATTATGCATGTAATTTATAAGATTTTTTCAAATAAATTGGTAGACATATCCACTTATTTACTTAGAAGTGCAAAAATCAGTGGAACAGATATCAGAGTTCCTTTTACTCTATATCTCACGATATCTTTGGCCGCACTCACATAAGCATTTTAATCTGATTGGTTTCCATTCGGCACCAGCTAAATGAATGTTTCCATTATACCACAGATAAACCAAGAATAAAGAAAAATAATAAAATATCTATTCTTGGACAATACCTGTGCTTAGCAGGTTATGTGAATCCATATCATAGATCTTAATGTGACTTGTTTATAGAGGCAATGTGAGCTCAGTCTATATGTCATATAATTTATGAATGTGAAATTGGCAAGTTAATTGGCTCAAATCTATAACATATTGGACAAATAACAATTGTGAGCAATCCTACAGGCTCCGTGCAAAAAATGCATGAAATATGTTAGGGCTAGATGGAGGGCAGATTAAAGTGAAGGAGAGACTGTAAAAAATACAGAAAATCCATTTCTCTCCACCCTCCCAGCCATTGGTTTGACTTGTCACTCAACCAGCATTTCCAATCTCAACTAGTCTTCAATAACACCACTGCTAAATTGATAGAAGAAACTTAATTATTAAAAAAAACTTGAATCTGGGCTTTTTGAAACAGAGAATGTAAATTAATTTAATGCGCTGGATTCACATAACATGCTAATCACTGTGTAGTGAAAATGCATCCTGAGGACAAGGCTAGGGGTTTGCAAAAGGTATAGGGTGTGATGTATGCCCCAATGCTATAGACTGTGCTTCCATCTTCTATAAATTGTATCTCTCCCCCCCCCCACCTGCTTTCTTACAGGGGTATTCACTTCGATAAGGGAGTCTTAGGAGTAGCTTTCGTAGGCGGCATGTGCAATGATTTAACATCTGTAGGAGTTATTCAGGTGGGTAAAAAGGATAAGCGTTACATGTTTGTAGTTGGTGAAAACTTATTTCACCCTTTATTACAAATAAAGTTTACTACAAACTTTATTACAAATAAAGACTCTTCTCATTTTTGATCCACATCATTTTCATCCATATTTATTTATGTATTTGACATCCCTTTGTCTTTCCTCAATTGATGGTGTTTTGTCACAATGCATTATGGCAGGGATCTCCAACCTTGGCAACTTTAAGCCTGGCATACTTCAATTCCTAGAATTCTGGGAGTTGAAGTCCTCCAGTCTTAAAGTTGCCAAGGTGGGAGACCCCTGCACTATGGAAATGTCATAGAACAAGATTTTTGTATACTTTGACTTATATATCAGAAGATGAAAATATATTTGGATTGGGAGAAGTCAAAGAAAAACTGCCATAATTGGCAAATGAGGAGGTCAAATGATGGTGCAATACTTGCAAACAAGGCTTCTGAACAATATTCTTAGTAACCTTGATGACAGACATGAATTGTCCTTCTTTCATTCTGAGAAATTTAGGGTCGAGATTTATATGGCTGAATTAATACACAGCGAGAAAATTAGACAATACTAAATCTGCTTTTAAAAGAAACTTTCAATATTTGAAGAGCCTGTAAGAAAGTCATTTTTATTCAGAAGGACCAACTCACTCATAAATCTATGGAGCATTTCAGCCTTCAATATTCTGAAAATGCTAGTATCAGCTTTGGAAGCCATATTAGCACCGGAAGGTTCCACGCTGCCACATTCTTGAGCTTGGGAAGTTGGGAGGAGGGTTTCATACGGTTGGGAAGTTGGGAGGGGGGAGCGTATATGGTTAGACGTAATAGCATTCTTCTTTGAAGTCAAGGTCATGTTCTTCCTGCACCTGGTGGGAGTGGTTGAAGGGATGTCTCAAGTTGGAATGGATGGTGATTGGGGCATGTGATGGAACGATGGGTGCAGGGGGTGGGTTTGTAATTTTTTACTTATTGGAGGAAAACCTGGAACTTTCAGATTCGGGTTTTCCCAGATGTGCCAGTATGACAACTGTAATAAAATTGAACTTTGAGAAAATGCCTGGGTTGGAGTTTTGCTGTTGGAGTTTGTTTTTCTGGAACCCTGACAGCTAGCAAAATCCACTAAGTAGTTTTTGGACTGATGTTGCCTGCAAGTTTAGTAACTAAACTAAATAAATGCAGACAGACAGATGGATGCAGATCTTCAGGGCTTTAAAGTTTTCTTCTGGATGCAAGTATTTGTGCATGTTCTGAAGTCACGGTCCACATGCACCCAGAAGAGCTGAAAGAATGGTATAAGTAGTCTTAGTGACTATTCAAACTGCCATGGACCTCCCAAAAGCTACTTGTGCCCCGATTTTGAAGTTCTGAGATCCCGTGACTGCATTTTGAGCCCTTGACCTGCAATTAAGGCCATTTCCAGTGCCCTGAGATCATGTAATTGTAATTTATGAGTTTTGCCAGAAATTGGCATTTTGTTCTGGTTTTGTGCAGAAAGAAACCCAAAGCAAACGATGGATTCATTTAACAACCACAGTATTGTATGATTGACTGTGACATTTATTTTAAGACCACTGTGTTTGCTTAACAAACACTATAAAAAGGTGGTAAAATTGGGTCAGTCTTATGATGACCCATTGTACAACCATCCTAACTTATGACCATAATTACCAGCCTCAGTTATGGTCATAAACTGAGGACTACTTGCATAATCTTTTTGTTTCAGGCTTAGATAAACAATATACTTTCTTAGCACTTTTCCATGTTACAACCAGTGGATAATGAGAAAACCTGTTGCTGATAAAACAATAGCACAGTTTGAAGAAAGGATCTGACCCCTTCAACTCCCTTTGAGGCTAATGTTTTATTTATATTTCCTTTTTTTAACTCAGAAAACATAATAGGTAGACACTTTTTTGCCTCATTATTCCAATGAAATAATTGTGGAGGAAATCTCCATCTCTAAGCTACTAAAAGAACCCATCAAACTTTGAAAAAATAAATGCTTTCTGCAAGAAACCTATTCTCAGCCCTGTAAATTATTTCTTTTTCTAACTTTTTTATTATCAGAAAGTCCCTGAGCAAAGATTTCAAATAATTGGGGTCCCTTCTGGTTTCTTGGTGGATTAACTGTAGACAAAAATGTTCTCTCTCTCTCTCTCTTTTTCCAGGATAACAGCATCCAGGCAATTTTAATTGCAGCTATAATGACCCACGAGTTGGGTCATAATCTTGGTATGGATCATGATGCAGATTCCTGTACTTGCAACACAGGACCATGCATTATGGAAGCCTCAATAAAGTAAGGATTCGGGGGGGGGGACACTTTTAATGCCTTTCAAATCAAGTAAATGATTGCAATTAATCATTAAATTAAGTATACTGAGAACTTGAAAAATGAAATGGTCAGAATTACAGAACAGTGGGGTCTGGTCAAATGTGTGTGAATTTATGGTGTGTGATTACAATGTGTTGTATTTAAAAAGGTAGAATATCTCTCAACAGTTGAATTGCCATCATTCAGTAGCTTCCTCCAAAACACAATAGTTTAAAAAATGGCATAGGAAACATAACCCAAATTTTAATAACTGTGATGGAAGTTGTTACCATGCTTTATTTTTTAAAGAAACAAAAGAGAGATGGGAAGGAGAAGGAGAAGGAAAGAAAGGAGGAGAAGAAGAGGGTGGGAGGAGGATGGAGGGAAGAAGAAGCAAGGGGGAGAGGAGGGGAGGGGAGGGAGAGGAAGAAGGAAAACAGGGAAAGGAAGGGATGGGATCCTCTCATAAATTGTTTGTTCCTGTAACCTTTTGTGTAAGATTTTTCCATAGTCTCAGGGCACATGCTACCTGTTGACAATTTTCTGCCTTCTTCTGCCAAAGCACAAGAACTTCATTGTCTCATATTTTATTCACTGACAATGAGATAGGAAGTATTGAGAATGTTATCACACCTCTTCTGCATTTTTTAATACTTCAGAACCACTACTTGGTATTTGATACAGATGCCCTGGTTTAGGGAACAATTTTGCTTAATAAAACCCACCTAATGGGTCTGGTGCATCTTTGCCCTTAACCATGTTGTCTATTTAATGGCCAAAAGCAGTTGGTCTTTGGGTTCTTGCTTTTACCCTCTAACTTGAGGGCCAATGATTATATTCGTAATTATTTGTAATAACATTAGGAAAGTGGATTTATCATAGTGTATTTGTATCTCTTTCTGTATAATCTTTCAGAACCCAGTGGCAAGTTGCTGATAATAGAAAAGAAGTCCAATAAGTATCTTAACTCTCCTTTGGCCTTAAAATATTTATTATTAAAAGTGCAACAACTCCAAAAAAAATCCCTTTAATTACATTATTGCCATCTCTCCTTCATCCCATCAGCAATGACATTGTATGACTTCCAGGCTCCCCTTCTACAGAGAGACTAAAAATGAAAATGAAAGGTAGTCCACTCAAACTAGCTTAAGCAACTAATATCATGTGAACTTCTCATTACAAATTAATTTTGTTAAAAAAGGAAATAAAGTTAGTGGAAATAAAACTGAGGGAAGAATAATCTGGAAGTAAGACCAGGGGGTATATATAGTTCTCTTAATTACTTTTTTAGCTTTATAAAAAATTCAAATATTTGTTCTTTCCATTTTTTATGTTATTGCCATGAATTCTGTTCCTGGTCCAAATATGGATGAGATCATAATCGTATATTGGTTCATCTTTACAGTTTTAACCCTCCTTGGGAGTTCAGCTCTTGCAGTTTACGGGATTATCAGAATTATATCATGACTGAAACTGCACAATGCATTCTCAATGACCCCTTGACCACAGATATTGTTCCAATTGCAATTTGTGGAAATGGTTTTGTGGAAGAGGGAGAAGAATGTGACTGTGGCCTTCCAGAGGTAATTTTTATTTTAATCAACAAGGGTGATTCCATGAACTATATCAGAAATGAGAATCCTTGCAAAATCATCTTTCTTAGTGGTTTGAGCTATCCAAGAGATTGGCTTCTTAGTGATATAGGTTTGTGTCCTTTATGTACATGCATTTATGCATTGGTTTCTTGGATTTGAAAAATCAGTTTTAGAGGAATAGAGAACTGATATCTCACTTACATTTTGGGAAGACTGTGTTTTTTTAAATGGGTTTTTTACAACACCAAGAATATCCTTCCCTACTGAAAACCCCTATGTTGTTGACATTCGCATATTACGAATGAAGGCAAATATATGTGTCCTAGGATAATGTTCCAGGAGCCAATCTGAGTTCGTCATCAGGACCAGAGACTTTGTCTTCCAAGCTTTCAGACTTATGCTGGAGCACAGAACTTATCTCTCTCACCAGAATATCTGCCATCTGTCAGGGTTCCAGTGATTGCCCTAATTAAATCATGAACCTCGAGCCAAGCTTCAAAAGAATCCAAAAGATTTATTAGGAGCAACATGTCAGCATTAACCTAAATGAAGCCAACCCTGGCATACGTAATTTACAGTCATCTGTGACCCTGTTTCTCCCCTTCCCCCTGGGTGTGTCATAAATCAGATTCTCCAATGAAGCACATTCATGGGCTGGGTGTCATCAATCACGTTCTCCAATGAAGGATTTTCATGGTCAGAAGATCCAGTAGCCTAGTTACAATCTTTGTAAGATAAGCGTGGAATGTACTTTTTGTTTTAAACTGCCGTACTGTTCCTTCAGATCCCCCCCCCCCCATTTATGGCAACTCAAAAACAGGTATAGGAATGTTTTACGAGTTGACACCATCATTGGTCCTGGTGACCGAACCAGATTGGATCTTGCAACTTGGCCACATTACCTATCTCACTGTTTCCTTGAGCAACTTTCTCTTATGATCTTCAACTTCTGTTCTGCTTTCTAACAGTAATTTTTCAACATGAACAGTGATTTAGCAAAGTATTCTCTTGAGATTGTTAAATAGAGTCAATACACATAATGATCCTTGAGAATGTGCTTGAGAGATACAAGGAGAAGGAACAGGCTACTTAATTGTCAGATAAAAGGTAGCAAGTTCAGCCTGCAGAAGCAATGGGGTATGATGAACATCTCAAGAGAAATACCCATCTTTCCATAAAGATAAGGGGAGAAATGTCCTTTCATGAATGAAATATTATCATAACCTTAGAATAAGGGTAGTGTTAAATATTCATGTTTGGTGCTTCTTCTCTGGCCTACCTCAAAGGCTGGCATCCTGAGTAGAAAATCACTCAGGATAAGCAAGAGTTTTGGGCTGCAGGTTATGTGAGCTTCACAATTAGGAGATGTGGATATTTTTTTGTTTCTTTCTTTTCACATAGGAAATATGTGATAAATCTGTTTCATGCAGAAATGCCACCATTCTTTTACAATAACATGGAACACAGAATAACAGAGTTGGAAGGGATCTTGCAGGTCATACAGTCCAACACTCTGCTTGAGCTGAGAAGATCATGGCATTTAAGAAAAATGGTCGTCCAGTTTCTTCTTGAAAGCCTCCAGTGATGGGACATCCATCACTGATGGATGGGGCATCATTGATGGATCCAGTGATGCAGTGATAAATCAGTGATGGATCATTGATGGAGGGGGAATGGATGGGGCACAGTAGTAGGCACCCAACAAACACTCAGGCTGCTATTACTCACTTTCATCTTCCAACATGAGCTCATAAGAGGAAACACATGACAGAAATATATCCTTTTCCTTGGCAGTTTCCCTCTTCAAAAAAGACCAGGTAAAAGAGACCAGGAAGGAAAGTCTATGATGTCATTTGATATTTTTTTGGTTTTCAGATATGTAAAAATGAGTGCTGTGAAGCTGCAACTTGTAAACTGAAACCTGAGGCAGAGTGTGCAAGTGGAGCATGTTGTGAGAAATGCCAGGTAAGGCTTGCTTATTTTTAACATTAGGAGAGATTTTACCCTGCTCCTCCCTAATAATATGAAAATGTTACATCGTTTGGTTGCTTACTGTGATCAAAAACATGTTAACCCTGTTCCCATCCCTTCTTCCAGTTTATTTCACCTTATGAAGATAGGGAAGACAGTTCAACAAAATTTCAGCATTGTTTCAGTTTAAAATGCATTCCATTGGCATGTTAAGTCATGTCTGTGAAAATAATATATATCCTTCTTTGACTGAGTTTGCATGGGACCCCAGTTTTAATAAGGCTGGGCAATTTTGGGATTGGTGCCCTAACTCACCTTCCTAATATTCTAGAAGGTTCTAAGAGGTCTCTGATAATGTGTGACATTTTTTCTCCCTGCTATGACTTTTAAACAGGGATGTGTGGCTCAGTGGCTAAGACGCTGAGCTTGTCAATCGAAAGGTCTGCAGTTCAGCGGTTCGAATCCCTACCGCCACATAATGGAGTGAGTTCCCATTATTTGTCCCAGCTTCTGCCAACCTAGCAGTTTGAAAGCACATAAAAAATGCAAGTAGAAAAATAGGGACCACCTTTGAAAGTGGGAAGGTAACAGCGTTCCGTGCGTCTTTGGTGTTTAGTCATGCCAGCCACATGACCACAGAAACGTCTTTGGACAGTGCTGTTTCTTTGGCTTTGTAAAGGAGATGAGCACCACCCCCCAGAGCCGGAAACAACTAGCACATATGTGCGAGGGGAACCTTTGCCTTTATGACTTTTAAGGTGGAGATGGGTTCAGGAGATTTCTAGAAGTCAAATTGCTTTCTTTTGCACCATTAGGTTACCTACCTGCTCTCCAAAGCACTAAATATTTTAGTTGCACATTTTGGAGGTAGTGGAGGATCATGAAGCGAGAGGTGCAAGTTTCTCAGTCCTTCTATATATGATCCCAGTTGACTGTATTATAAACTTTTTGAGCAGAGTGGGGCCCAAGGCCTTTTGTTATTTCCATACTTCCATCACAAGGCAAGACTCACAGGAACAGAAAACACCCATGTTTTTTCAGCACATGAGAGAAAATTACAAAATGCCTTTTTCCAATATAAAGAAATAAAAATATAAAAATATAAGAGGTTTTGCTGCTTTTTCATAAGGGCCAAATTGATTTTCATGGACATCCACGGTCAGCAAACTTGTAGCCCTTGTGTTTCAGGAATTGAGCTTCTCATGGCAATCATTTTCTCATAGCAAATAAGACAGGCTGGGATTTCTAGGCACCGTACACAATGTTTTAATTCCTGGAGCCCGTTTGTATCATGGCCTTGCTTGGTAATCCTCAAGACAGATGAAAAGAAGGCTTTGAAATGTATTGTGAATCAGGGTTTGACACTTTGCTCTCTGCTGCTAAAGAGTGATAGTTGGCAGCATTCTTCATTCTCACCCACAGTTTAGGAGAGCTGGAGAACTATGCCGGGCAGCAAAGGATGACTGTGACTTTGATGAACTCTGCACTGGCCAATCTGCCGAGTGTCCCATGAATCTCTTCCATATGGATGGACACCCATGCCAAAACAACCAAGGTTACTGCTTCAGGGGGACATGTCCCACCTTAAAAAAGCAATGCATTGCTCTCTGGGGGCCAGGTAAGTCAACCTTAGGATTTCAGAATAGTACTGATATAAAAGACAGTTGTTGCAATTGATCAAAGATATTTTTCCTTGGTATCCATGGTACATCATTATCTCATTATGATGGCATATTTTTTTCAAGATGAAGTTCTTTCTTTGGAAGTTTAATAGCTCAGTTCTCCAGATCAATCCATCTTTTGGTTTAAAGCTCCAAACTTCCCAAGAGAACATGGCCAATGGTAAAAGATGATAGCAGTTGTAGATCAGAAATCTGGAAAGACAGACGGAAGGGGAAGAATGCTTTGTGGGTTGTGGATACATTCCCAAAATGAACAAAGACATGAGACAATATATGTGTGAACACTTCAGTATTTGTCTTGGTTTCTCACTCCCCTCTTACAGATGCAGAAGTGGCTCCATATGGTTGTTTCATGAATAACCAGAAAGGGAAAGATTATGGCTACTGCAAAAAGGAAAACGGTACAAACATTCCATGTGAACCAGAGTAAGCACTCTAAATTATTTCTTGCTATAATGATGACCTCATTTAAGGATAACATAAAAATGTTTTCAGGTCCATATCTGTGGGAACCTGATTCTAATTCCCGCTAAAACAACAGAAGTGTGAACCAATTTCTGAATGGCTAATTTTCCTTTGTTTTCCATCTTGGGTTACAAGAGGAATATACCCTTTTATACCCCATTTGGGTTAAAAGCGGGGTATAAAAGGAGTTCCATGAGGACAGAAGTGCCTTTTAAGAGCCTGTATAAGAAAGTACAGGTAGTCCTTGAGTTACAACCATTGTTTAATGACTTCAAAGAAACATCAACACTAAAATAAGTATCTCACAACTTGTCCTTGCACTTACACTGTTGACAGCATCCCTATAGTCATGTGATCAAAATGCAGATGCTTGTCAATCAACATGTATTTATGAGGGTTATGCAGTTCTCTTCCAGCTTCCAACAAGAGAAGCCAAGCCGGAAGTCAGATTTGATTAAGAACGATGTGATTCACTTAATAGTTGCAAAAACATCATAAAACCATCTGCAAGATGTTCAACAATAGACTTGTTTAGCAATGCAAATTCTAGATCCTTTTATAGCGATAACCTCATATTGGTGTGGCAAGATGTTGAGGCAGGAGCAAAAGCAGAGAAGGCCCTCCTCCTGGATGCGGGCCAGCTGGAATAATTGGGCTGACAGGACCTGCAGCATGCCTCTGCCAGCACCAGTGGGATGGGCCAATCCCAGGGGGATGAGATCAAGTAACTTGGTTCCATGTGCCATGATGAAGAAGGGCTTTAGAGGTGATCACTGACACTTTTGACTGCACCCAGAAGCAGATCGGCAACCAATAGAGCTCGCAGAGCAGCAGAGCAGTGGTATTACAGGGGCCATTTTGATCTAGGAAAGGCCGCATCTGGTGCATCTCCTAGCCAAGACTGTCTCCTGCTCCAGGAGAATCCCCAAGTTTGAGACTGAATCTGTTTGAGGCAGAGCAACCGCACCCGGAGTCAAAGATGAAAAGTCCTGGATCCTGGAGCCCATGTACCCAAAGCCATTTGGTCTTGCCAGGATTCACTTGAAACAATGCCTCTGGGTGGCATTCTGAGGACTCAATAAGAGCAGAGAAATACTGCTATCTCATCACTCTTATTGCCGTGAGGTAGGCCTCAACAATGGCTCTAAGTCATGTTTCGTCAGAGTCATCCCTTCTCTTCCTCCAGAGGCTCTCTAGGCAGAACCCATAGCTCCTCCATGAACTACAGGGAGGGTCAGGAACAATGGGAGATAGCATATGAGAGCAACAAGGATATGAATTGCACTTAGTCATAAACCATAACTTAGAAACCACAATAGCGAGATTTGCACCACAAAATGAACCCAATCCAAACAATTAGTTGCAGTACCTTTTCATGATGTGTGCAAATTCACTCTGCCTTTAGGTCTCACACAAAACCACAGAATCCTGTGCCATTTTTTTTCTACTAAAAGAAGGGCAGTCCTTATTTTATATATCCCTATTTCAATCTTAATGGACTAATATGGAAATGGAGTAATAATCATCTTTCGAAACAATTTCCCTTTCTAATGTTCAGTGCAATTCCCCCGACCTTTAGATTTCAACCCACCTCATCCCCCATCATTCACTAAGTCACAGATTATCAGAAATTTAGGCTAGAGATCTGGAAAAATCAACCCGCCTAAGTCTGCCTTAGGAGTTTTCCATGTGGATAATAGATATGTTACTACTCTGATGATAAGAATCCTGACTCTATCTTCACCTTCATAAACAGGGAAACCATGTGAGCTCGTTGGAATTGTGTTTCTCTACTTTTACTCCAAACCCTGAAACACCTTGTGAAATTTTTCATTTAACTGTTAAATGCAACCCAGTTCAATTTGAGGCTGAGCAAGCTTTGGATTCTCCATCTCTGTTTTCAATTTTTAACTTAAATATTTTCAAATGAGCAAAGAGACATCTTATTAATCCACTCTGTATCAGGATTCCAGTGATTGCCCTAATTAAATGATGAGCCTCGAGCCAAGCTTCAAAAGAATCCAGAAGATTAGGAGCAACATATCCGGCATAGCCTGTATGAAGCCAACTCTGGCATATGTAATTTACAGTCACCTGTGACCCTGTTTCCCCCCTCCTTCCTGGGTGTATCATAAACCAGATTTTCCAATGAAGCACATTCATGGGCTGGGTGTCATCAATCACATTCTCCATTGAAGGATTTTCACAGACAGAAGATTTGGTAGCTTAGTTACAATCTTTGTAAGATAAGTGTGGAATGTACTTCTGGTTTTAAGATGCCCTGCTCCTTCAAATCCCCCCCACACACACACACACACTTGTTTATGGCAACTCTGAAACAGGCATAGGAATGCTTTACAAGTTGACACTTTGTTCATTAGACGGAATTGACTGTTTCTTTTTCAGGGATGTTAAATGTGGCAGGTTATACTGCATAGATGATTCAACTGAAGAGAAATCATGCAAATTTTACTTTTCAAACGAAAATGCCAATTTGGGAATGGTTGAACCTGGAACAAAGTGTGGAGAAGGAATGGTGAGTAAAAGATTAGCTCTTATCCATCTGCTGGAAGATCTGATTCCAAGGGGTGATCACTGAAATAATTTTGCAACGGATCTTGCTAAAAGCTAGCTTAGATTCCTTTTTTTGGTTATAGTTTTATTTTATTTTTTTAAAGAGTTAAAATATAAAATTCCAAAAATCGTTTAAAAAACCCAAACAAATGAAGAAAAAACAGGAAACAAGGCATTAAAAAAGTAAAAAAAAAAACCCATCCCTAACACATAAACACATATTATCCCCCCTAGTTGAATACTGATTAATACATTACTGCAATATTAGTTTCCCACCTCTTGAGAAACACAAATTTTTTGAACTACTAAAACTATTTTCAAATTATTAACTTGTCATCTATATACTATATTAATGACAAAATAATTAACAAGAATGATGATAAAAAAGCAAAATTAAAATTAACCCTCTGTTAACAAACTGTTATTCTGATTAATGTGTAGAAAATTTACCACAGCATCTTATCTTTCCCAGATTGGCCCAAGTATTAACAGTGATTCATCCTTGATCAAATATTCACATTTTTTTCTTAATACCATCTTATCAATCGATGTCAGGTTAAATATAATAAATGCAATGTCCAAAGTTAGTCTATTTTCCCAAAAAAGTACAGATGAAAGTGTTTTCCAGTTAAGTATGATAAATTCATTCCCAACTGACCTACAATCCCCTTAAAGGTAAAGGTAAAAGTTCCCCTTGCACATACGTGCTAGTCATTTCCGGCTCTAGGGGGCAGTGCTCATCTCCATTACAAAGCCGAAGAGCCAGTGCTGTCCAAAAACGTCTCTGTGGTCATGTGGCTGGCATGACGCCAAAGGTGCACGGAACGCTGTTACCTTCTCACCAAAGTGGCCCCTATTTTTCTACTTGCATTTTTACATGCTTTCAAACTGCTAGTTTGGCAGAAACTGGGATAAGTAACGGGAGCTCACTCCATTACGTGGCGCTAGGGATTCGAACTGCCAAACTTTCTGATTGACAAGCTCAGTGTCTTAGCTACTGAGCCACCGCATCCCTTCTCAATCCCCAATCCTTTTAGGAAAAACCAATTTATTGCTTCGTCAGATTCCTGCTATTGTAAAAAAAAAATGCAGGGTTCAACTTCAGAGACCCATGTACAATTAAACTCAGTTCTAAATCTGTACACTCTATATTTCTTTCTGACAATTCTGCTGCTTTCAAATCATATTCATTTTGTGAATCTAATTTATCCAGAACTACATGTACCCAGGGATGGGATTCGACCGGTATAACTACCGGTTCTGTTGCTTCGTGTTGGGTGTGCATGCGCGCTTTGCGCACGAGTCACGTGAGTGCAATTTACGACCTGCTGAGCTGCCTGGACAGCTGAGCAGCGCTGCGTGCAAGTGCACAGCTGTTGGAAAAGCCCTTTTTTTCTTCTTTTTCCATCACAGCTGTGTCGCGCAAAGCAGCTGTGGTTGAAAAAGCAGGAAATAAAGGACAGGTAAGAGCTCAGGTGGGCCGGTGGGCCAAAATAGCAGCAGACATAGAACCGGTTCTATGTATGCTCTCTGTCTGCTGTTCTTCAGAACTACCGGCTCTACAGAGGTGGACAGAACTGGTAGAATCCCACCCCTGCATGTACCTGAATATTTTCTGTAGCCATTATCATTTCATCAAAAAAGCTTTCAACTAGGGATTGCATGTTGCAAAATGGTCTTTCTTCACATATCAGCCACTGTCAGAAATGCTGTAGGGTCTGCTTGGGTAGGGGGTTGGTCTAGATAACTTACAAGGTCCCTTCCAATTCTGTAAATTTGTGTCTGTATCTAAGGTATCTCTATATGGAAGGAGGAAGAAAGATGAAAAAATCAGGGCAGAGCTGGTTTTGACCTAAAAGTCACCAGTTCAATGAAGCCATTTAGAAGTGTTGAATCAATCCTAAAGCTTTTCTTAAAGGATCAGGAATCACTTCTTCCTGTCTTTTTACACTGTATAAAACCTGAAAGAAGTTTATTGAATATCTTGGGCTAGTTCTAGGGAGTTGAGTTGTGTAGGAAAGTGCTGTCTTACTCTATTGATAATCTTTGACATTGACTTTCAGGTCTGTGGCTCCGGGCAGTGTATTAACCTAGAAACAGCGTTTGGAGCAACCAGTAACTTCACTCAAATGTGATTTTGGAGATCCACTTTCCAGAAAGCTTGACTTCCCTCAAAAGACCCATCTCTGTTCATCATACTAGTAAATCTTTCTTAACTTCTAGATGGCATCTAAAATCTGCAATTTTTCTTCTCCATGTTTAATCTGATTACTTTTTGCTGTAATTAAACCCTTTCCCAGCCACAAGGCTCCATGAGCATGTACAACACCAAAGATATATGTGCTGTCAAGAAAAAAATATTGGCCATTTTACTTTTGCCAATTGCAAAACACATTTTAATGCAAAAAGTTTTACTTTTGGAGCTGGCATCTTCAAAGGCAATGAATTCTGTTCAAAAATTTTCTTCCTGACAATCAAAGATGTAGCTGCTTCTATCAATAAACAAATCTAATTCTGCATTTAGTAAAGGTCGATGTTCAAATTTGGTCTTCAAGAATTTACATGCAATCATGAAATAAATCATCAAGTGAATTATCTACTGGCATTAAAGAGGTTAGATTTAGTTCATTCAATCAGCCAGAAAAAGACGGCTAGTATTTTGTTCTCAGAAGGAGCCCTTAACAATACATCATACACATATGGCAATACAGAGCTGTTTGTTCGTGGTTATGGGGTGGGGTCTATCTGAGTAGGTCAGAGCCAAGAGCTTTACCAGAAATGATTGGGCTATTTTCAAATCAGTCTGGTTCCTTTTACATGTTCAAGGGGTAGAATCAAGATCAGGTGAAGCGTTAATACCACATTATAATGCCTTGGTAAGGCCACACTTAGAATAGTGAATCAAGTTTTGGTCACCACAATGTAAAAAAGATGTTGAGACTCTAGAAAGAGTACAGAGAAGAGCAACAAATATGATTAAGGGACGGGAGGCTAAAACATATAAGGAATGGTTCAGTGGTGGGATTCAATTTTTTTTACTACTGGTTCTGTGGGCGTGGCTTGGTGGGCGTGGCAGGGGAAGGATACTACAAAATCCCAATTCCTTCCCCACCCCACTAACCTGCTTTCCAGCTCCGTTCTCTTGTGCAGGGCAACAAAAGAAGACCCAGTCAGTCAGCTGGGACTCGGGAGGCAGAGAATAGATGGGGCGGGGCCAGTCACAGGTGGTATTTGCCGGTTCTCTGAACTACTCAAAATTTCCGCTACTGATTCTCCAGAACTGGTCAGAACCTGCTGAATAACCTCTGGAACAATTGCTAGAATTAGGTATGTTGAGTTTAATGAAAAGAAGAACTAGGAGTGACAGAGATATCAGTGTTCCGATATCTCCAGTTGCCATCAAGAAGAGGGAGTCAAGCTATTCTCTAAAGCACTTGAAGGCAGGACAAGAAGCAATGAATGGAAACTAATCAAGGAAAGAAGTAACCTAGAGCTAAGGAGAATTTTCCTGAAGTTAGAACAATTAATCAGTGGAACTGATGAGAGACTCCAAAAAATTGAAGAGAAAGATAAACAAAGAGATGAGACAATTGGAAATATTGATAGCAGATTAACAATGGTTGAACATGACAAAAGTGGGATGTTGAAGTGGGAGATGGACAGGTCAGAATTTTATCTCAGATTTCAAAATATAGAGAAAGAAAAAGGACAAAACTTGACTGCAATAATGATAGAAATTTTGGCTGGAGCTCTGGAAATAACAGAGGAAAAGATGATGGATGGAGTAGATGAGGTATACCGAGTCTTCACAAGATATGCGATGAGAAACAATCTACCGAGAGAGGTCCACGTCAGATTTACAAAAAAAAACCTATTAAAACACAAATATTACAAGTGGCAAGAGAGAAGACGTTGAAATATAAAGACAATGAGATTGTGGTTTTAAAACAAGTACCCAGAAAAGTGAGAGAGATGAGAAGAGAATATCAATTTCTGACTAAAATGTTATTGAAAAAAGAGGTGAATTACAGATGGCTGATTCCAGAAGGATTAATGTTTACATGGCAAGAACAGAGACAGAATTGACTCAATTGAGAATTTTTTTTTGATTAAAATAATCTCACATTATTAATGGGTTTAAACCTGGCTCCAGACTGTGTGATTGCAAAATTTGCAGGATGAAGCTCAGAAATTAAGAAAAATGGGCAAATAACCTACAGCAGACAAATCTAAATAATAGTTCCCAAACTAAATTCAAAACCGCTACTCATCTATAGGAGCAAAGCTTCCCAGATTCTCAGTAGTTCTGTCACAGCATGAATTCCCAAGTGCATAATAACCTTTCGCCATAACTACAGAGTAGTAAGATTTTATTGCACATTTAGGCAAGGTAAAACCAAAAAAGCAGATATAATATAGGAGGTACATAGCTCAATAGTAGTAAATTTGAGAGGTATCTTGGAATCCAAATGGACAATCACTTAAATATGAGCCAGCTGCAGCTGCTAAAAAAAGTGAATACAATTTTAGGCTGCATTAATGGATGGATAGAATCAAGATCATGTGAAGTGTTATAATGCCTTAGTAAAACCACAGTTGGAATATTGCATCCAGATTTGTCGTAACGATTTAAAAAAGATGTTGAGATTCTAGAAGGAATGCAGAGAAGAACAACAAAGATGATTAGGAGTCATCTTAGGGGTCAAAGATTGTCACTTTCCAACTTATAATAAATAAATAATAAATAAATAATAAATATACTTTATTGTTATTGTACGTATATACACAGTATACACATACAACGAAATTCACATAACACCCAGACCAGACCCAACACACACTCACACATGACAATCCCCAAACTCATCCCCACTCACCAAATTCACCACCCCAAAAAAACCACAAGCATCCATACAACAGACCAAGTAATACTGTCCAACAGCTCACTGTTGCTGGTCCTTAAGTTCATTGTTAAGTGCAATGATAGTTCTCAGATAAAAACTGTTCAGAAAATGTGTGGTCTGAGTTTTAATTGTTCTGTATCTTCTGCCAGAAGGCAACAGTTCACAAAGATTATAAGCAGGGTGGGAAGAGTCTCTGAGAATGTTGTACAACTTCCTCAAACAGCAAGATGTGAAGATGTCATCCAGAGCTGGTAGCTATATATTCATCTCAACTCACAGCTGTGCATTATTGGTATGCAAAAGAAATGCATGGGTTGCTGATTGACAGGTTCTCCCAGGTTGCTTGATATAATGTTTCTCTTGCATCCTAGGGGCTGCTTTTGCAATCAAAAGCAGGGATGTGAAGAACAGTGATGGAGCCACTCACATGCTCAGAGATCCCCGCTCAATCTCCAAGCGGTCAATTGAAGCCACTGGGGTTCCAAATATAACAAGGGTCCCTGGCTGAGTGATTCTCTGTCTGCTGGTATCCTCCAAGGACTGGTCACAGAGAGGCTTACCAAGTGTGCAAGCCATGGTCATCTGGGCCAGTGAGGGGCAACAAGTATGAGCTCTGCCTTTCCCCCCAATAGTTTCTGTATCACCCTTGGGATCAGGGGCAGTGGAGGAAAGGCATAGAGGAGCCCCCATGGCCAAGGGCTGCATAAGGCATCCGTCCCCTCCACCCCCCGGAACCATAAACCTGGGGAAGAATCTTGGGAGTTTTGCATTGTCCGGAGAGGCGAAGAGGTCTACTGCTGGTCATCTGAAGCACTCTGACAGCTCCTGAAACAAAGTGGGGTGCAAATGCCACTCTGCATGGTCTACGGTGGCTCTGCTAAGCCAGTCTGCTTCAACATTGGATACACCTGCAATATGCTCAGCTCTGAGTGAGACATGATGCCTTTCTGCCCAGAGACACAGTTGTTCTGCCTCTAGCATCAGGGGCCTTGAACGTGTTCCCCCTTGGCAATTTACATGTGCCTTAGTGGTCACATTGTCAGTTAAGACCAGGACGTCCCTATTTGCAACTATGTTTTGGAATTGTCTCGTGGCCAGGTGAACTGCCCTGAGTTCTAACCAATTGATGTTATGGTCCAAATGGGCCTGGGACCACTGTCCATGGGCCATCATGGATTGGAGTAGAGCTCCCCAGCCATAAAGGCTGGCATCAGTGGTCAGAACCAGCTGGTTAGGGTCCTTGAATTGGTTTCCTAAGGAAAGTGCTCCTGATAACCACCACCAAAAGGACTTGATGACTGTTAAGTTTGGGAAATAATGGAGACCAGACATCTGACCAGTGACTT